CTAAAACTTGATTCATCCATGCTGGCTCAAGGCCTAGGGAGATGCAGCTCTAGGAGCAGGAGTTATATTCAGGAGACTGAGGGCTGGGGATGTGGAGGAGGAGGAAGAGGCATGAAGAGGAGGCTCTTTCTTTGCATTATCGGGAAGGAGCTTAAGAAGGAAAAAAATATCTTACATCGCCTATGATGAAAAATGGTCTTGAAAAATATGCTTATCTGTTTGAAAAAATGCATGATTATCTTGTTTAATAGTGGTCTGTTTGAGAGCTGTTTCTTCACATACTTTATACAACACATTAAATCCTTTACACACAGACTTTTAAATACTAATTTCACAAATGTTTTTCAGAAAGGCTATTTCTTAATGATAAATCACTTTTCATCAGGTTTCTATTGATATTTTCCAGATTTCACAGAATAAGGAAGCTTAGCCCCAAAAAGATGCAGGAAAAAAAATTCATAGCTTAAAAAAAAAAGAAAAAGAAAAAAGAAAAAGCTTGGATTCCTTCCTGCTTTTTTAGGTATAGGCCCAAACAGTCAAGATTATTAAAATGATTGGTTCATACTGTTTAGAGGAAAGTGAAATAGCATCAGCTGATGTTGGTTGTGAGATATTTCATCTCCTTTAAATCTCATTTTGGAAGTCCCTTATTTGGGAAAGGAAGAGGAGAGGTTTTTTTTTTTTGTTTTTGTTTTTTTAATGAAGCTGGTATTTCCCTCAGTCTCAGCTGTTTCTCTCCTTTGCATGGGGTTGTCACAAACTCAAAACACTGCCCCATGGTGAGGAATTGGCTAAATAAGAAATGATAGTCTGTTATGATGGCACCGGAGGGAGTTATCGGATTTGCTGAGCTGGTGTGAGCTGCAGGAGTTGTGGGTCGTGTGGCCACGTGCTGGATTTCACAGGTCCAATGACAAAGTTCTTGATCTTTCCAGATCTATAAACATTAAGTTGGAAATCTCAAGAGCACTTTTTAACCTTGGTGCTTCGAAGAGTTGCTGCAAATTCAATGTGAACAGTTTTCTGTTGGAATGTTTCAGCGTTTCTCTTTTCAGTTTTCTTAAGGAAAGTGAAAAGAATTGTATAAATGTTTAAAAGTATTTTGAGATATAGTACAGGCTTTGCTCATTGCATGATAAAAACCTATTTTGAATTTAGTATGGAGAACAGCTTAGCTTCTGCCTCAGATTCCCATCTTTCATGCACATATCACCTGGGGAATCTTAGTCATGAACTTCGGTTAGCAAAAGTCAATTAAGACTTCAGTGTCATAACACCACCACAGGGCCTCCTGCTATCATGTCATTGCAAAGGTTGTTGCATTAATGAGGTATGAAAGCAGATTAACGACTAATCCAAGGTGTATGCTGCATTACTTCCTTGAAATAAGGACTGCAAATAATCAAGTACCACAGTCACATGCAATTCGAAAGCTACTTCAAATATACATAAAACATAAATAATAATATTAAAATATTATAAATAATATGAATAATGATAATATATATTGACAATTCAGAAATGAAAGATGTCTTGCACAGAAACTAATCTTGGGTGAATTTAAAACTCTGTAAGAATAGCGTATAATTTAAATACTTTTTTTCTTCACTCCTCCTAACCATCATGCAGTTGTTTTCTTAAGAGACAGGCAGCGTAGGATCCTGGCCAGCAGAAGCAGAGCAGGACATCTGTCCTTTGTGGAGGAAAAACGACAACTCAGATGTGAATGTAGATTTTTAGTTCTGAAAAACACAGGCAGTTGAATTTTGTACAGAAGAATCTTCTCAGGAAAACAAGAATCTCTTTGAAGCTCCTTTTTATTACTGCAATTTGAGAAACTGGAGTAGCTCAGACTGCGTCACTCACTGATACCTTTGTGGATGACAATAAAATTTTAAGAGACTTTTACAGATTAGAGGACCTTTTTTTTAAACTTGCAAGATGTATTTCACTGCTAAATGGCTCATAAAATCACACAGTTTAAAATGTATGTTTTTCATTTTAGATTTAATCTTTTTTATGCTGAGTGCTTGAGCATAACTGCAGCTACAGCTCTGACTCTTGTGATGGTGCTTGAATGGCTTCTACTCTAGAGGATTTGCACATAAATCTCAAAAATATGATGAGTGGTGTTTGAAATCAAGGGTAACAATCCAACTAAAATTTGCTTGAGGAGGGTTCAACTCAAGTCTGATCACCAGTGACTATGTAACAAAAATGCTGACTGGACACCAAAGCCTTATGTAGTATGGTGGGTATGTCTGCTCCAGTCCTTAGGAGGACACAACGTTCCTGGCTCCCAGTTTTGTGGAAATAGGGGCATTTGTGCCTGACCCCATAAGAATCTGTGCTCGTTGGGAGAGAGTTGTTTCATATTTATGAATCAGAAGGGGTAGACCTCCTATAAAGGATGGTGGGAAATGTGAATACAAGCAGTGCCTGCTTTCACATCATGTCCTTAGTTTTCCTTGGTGGTGGTTCCCTTGGTATGCTATTCCTTGGGTCACAACACATTTAATTTTCAGCAGTGAGTGAGCGTTGTGCTGGCTTCTTACACATACCTGCCAGCAAGTTCTGCCTGCTGGTTTGCCGCTTATTCTCGAGGTGGCAAACAAGCTTTTTATTCCTGAGCAAGCTCTTTCAGTGCTGGATGAAAAATGTAGTGTATGGGAAATTAGTTCAACTGAAAAGCAAAGTTCTGCCGAGGGGAAAATTTTCACGCTGGAAGTCTGTCATAAAATATGAGTTGCTGTGATGGGTGAATTTATAAATTGCTGTCAAACCGGTGCTGAATGGTGTTAATATGGTTGTTTAGGGCAGTGCTCATTTAATTATTAACTGTTATGATATAATATCATTATTTCTCTTGGATCTATCTTCTCTCATTTAGTGTGCTTTCTGCTGCTGGGATTTTCAAGCAGCTAAGTCTACACACTGACACTGAAGAATTATTTCTGCGTCAGATTGACCAGGAGGCCATGCTGCTACTGTAGAAACAAATACACTGTGTAAAATTGCATCTGTTTCTTGTGGGTATAAAAGCACGGTGCAATGAGCGAGGAGTTTCTGGAGTAACTTTTAAGCCTTCCAAAGCACATCTCTCTGAGGGCTGGGATAATAGAGGTGTTAAGTGAGGAGTTCAAGAAGAACTTGTAGCTGAAAACCTGGACTGAATTTCATCTCACAGCATATCCTGGGAACCAGGTTATTTCAGACCACAGACATAGGGTGGAGAGTATGCTATCTTCTGGAAGTACCAGTGGGTCTCCCAGTAGGATGGATGGATGCAGTTTTTCCTCTCACCCACAGGATAGCTTGGTCAGGCTCACATTGATAACTATGAGTTTGGATTATTATTATTTTTTTTTTCAGTGTGGCCGAAGTACACCAATGCCACTACCATCATTTTACTCGCTTCCCTTTCATCCTGATTTTCCTAAGTGTGGGAGTTTGGGTAATGTGCAAAATGATAGATTTTTGCAATATCTCAGTCCAGGGAGCGTGGCCCAGGTGCTCCTGTAGTTGAGCCTCTTGGCAGCAAGATCCCCATATTTGTGCTTTAAATAAAAAGTGCAGTTTCTCTTCACTCTTTCTGGCCCTGGAGCAGTAGAAGCAATCTGTTCTCACTGAGAAACACTGAAGCTGTGTAGAACTGGAACAAATGTAGAGATGGATTTCTGTTACAATTCTGTGGAAAATTTTGAGAAAAAGAATGTTTTTTGAGGCAAGTCTGAAAGAATTTTTTGAATGTCCAGAATGCCAATGTTTCTGAATCACCAAAAGGGCAGCACTTTAGAGAAGAGGCTACATGTTTCAATGACAGATGGAAAGCAATAATTGGGAAATAAAAACAGTATTTACTAAGCTAGGTAGATTATACTAGAATTAGTAAAAACTAGCTAAGGAATTTCAAACCTTCAGGGACAATGACTTGATATAGTTGGTGTAGTCATTGTTAATGACTGGGTTACTTGTAAGTGGTTTTCTGTTTTTAGAACATGCAGCTTAACGATGCAGTAGAGGAGGAGGATAGGGAAAGCAAACAACAGTGCTATGGTCCATCTTAGGAGAGGTGGCATGTGTAGTAGCACTCTGAGTAATAGCCTTCTATTGACATAAATTTCTTTTAAAAAAATAAAATAACAATAAAAAACTCAGTTGCATAGATTTTCAGTTTCATAGCTGTTACATGGAGATTTGTGGTAAGCAGTTTTTGATTCAATGCTCAAATCCAAAGGCAGGAAATTTGGGATTAAACCAACAGTTTTCAACAAGAGCAAAAAGAAATCTTCCCTTTCCCTGTATGTTTTAGAATCCCTCTAAAATGTCTTTTTTTCCCCCCCTAGTGCTAACTAGTTGATGTTTTGAAAAACACTGAAAATCAATCAAAACTAAAAAATATACATTTTTTTCTTTTTAAAAATATTGAAATGAAATATTATCTACCCCTTAATTACTGCTATTTGGCTGAAGGCATTAGTGGAAATTATCCATGTGTCACAAAGACAGTTTGAAAGCTGCAGTGTCAGCTCATATGTTGAAGTCTGACCAGGTGAGCAAGTCTTGGGCCACTGACCTGAGTATTATTGCAGTGAGACCAAAGTGTGATATTACATGCAGGTCTGATGTGGATGTATTTACAGTGGTGCTGAAAAGCTGGTGAAGTTGTGCAAAATGCTAAAAAGATGATTCATGGAGTGGACAAGTCATCCATGATGTTGAAACTACTTTAAAAATGATGTCTGTGTCATGAATTGTATTATTTTTAACAAATAATGTTTTTCTTTCTCCTCTATTAAGGCTCCCAAAAATGTTCAGCATCTCCACTTTTGCAAACTGAGGCTTTACTAAACTTTACGGACTTCATGCTTTTTTACAGCATTAACAGGATTTAGTGCGTGGACTTCATCGTGCTTCCGATGACTGAATTAGCTTGCTCATTAACCACTGGACAGCTGATTAATTTTTCACTGATTTATTTATTTATTTTTCCCTTCCAGGTTTATGATGAATGTGACTTGGGAAGGTAAAGATTTGTCCTTCACTGCCGACGGTTATCAGGCACACCCCAGGCTGGTGGTGATCGTACTGAACAAAGATCGTGTGTGGGAGAAGGTGAGCATCATCCGTAGGTAAAGAACTTGGGAGGAGATAGGAGAGACTTGGCAGAACCATATTAAAGATGAGCAGACAGATTAATATCACACACATCAATGATGATATTCTGCTGTAGCAGGTTTGTCACAACAGTTCAGAGAAGGTAATTTTGCTTTATTTTGGGTAGGTCTAAGGAATTTTAATGAGGAAGGCAATGTATCAGTGAAGAGATCACATGGATTTCATGTTTTTATGAAATGCACCTTTTGTTTCTCTAGCACAATTTAGCCAGCTAGAATGGGTGACTGAAAAATTTCCTGAAACTTGGACCTTAAGTGTCTGAGTGCATGGATTTGTGTATCTCAACATAATTCAGGAGCTATACAGAAAAGTCCTTTTATTTGGTTGATGGGATTTTTCAACAGAATTTAAGCAGATTTTATTCTCAATTTTGGCTCTGATGTTTTGCAGGATAGTTGTGATACCATGTGTCAAAAACCAACACCTTAGTGTTTGTTTGCACTATGGGAAAAAATACAGATGTATCATACCCCCTGATCTATTTTAAATTCATAAAGCATGACTGTGCATTATCTAAATTGCTGCTGAAATCTTTGAACTCTTTTGTCTGATACTTTTAGGATCTCATAAATCCAATTCTTTTTTGTAAGGCTGTCAGGTTCTTCATGATGTTGAATAATAATGACAAAATAAGAATTATTTGACGTAGGACATCTCTGTAAATATGCTAGTCATGCAAAACAGAGAGAGTAGTCCTAGATTATGCTGTGTGCTTCTTGACATTCATTTGATTTAATTCTCTGGATAAATTTAATTCTACCCGAATCTGTCAGTTGGAATCATTGGAGAATCTCTTGCTTAGTATCTATTATGCCAATTACTTACCTAATTTTAAAATTCTGCAACAGTCTTCATATCACATATAATGTTCTGGAAAAGTGTTATCCTAGTTGGGGAATATTAGTGTGGCACTGAGGGCAGAAAATGGGCATATTGGTAGACAACAGTGCTCATGGTGTCATAAATTTATTTTGGATCTTGATACTTCTCTAAAGAGAGCACTCACCCGACATGGGGAAATAGGTTAAATGCTCTTGAAAAATGAGTGAAGAAATGCTCAATATATGCACCAACAATATGTGCAAGAAATAAGTTGAGCCACTTTTAACCTTTGAGTGTCTCCTTTATGAGAGCATGGATGTTTCAGTCCAGCTTCTGCTGTAGTTAGTTGAGCATATTGTATGGCAGAAGTGTACACTCCACCTACTGCACTGGGCTACAAGGCTCTCTGTAGGATGAGACCTACAGTTTTCATCTGGTGTGTATGAGGTGTTTTTAGAAGGGAAAAGAGTGACTGAGAGGACATTGCTGCCCAGAAAATGTTCTGCATCTACTCCTAGATTCTACCTAGATTTAGAGCCCTTTTGGTAGAGGCCAGATGAGATATTTTGGTAGAGAGAGCCTGCCCCTAGCTGCAGTTTTGTCTGCTTCTCTATCGTAGGACTATGGGAAAGCAGCCAGGTTTAATTATGTCAGAGCAGAGAAGTGAAAGGCAGCCAAGAACGGGCTGTCACCACCAGAATTATCCCTCTGACCACAAGCTGATCCCTGCCTCCATGGATGAAGACAAATAAACTGACTAATCAATTATCCTGGCAAGCTGGAGGCAACTTTCAGCCGTATTGGAGCACCCCACATTTATAGCAGAATTTCACTCTGCTCTTCAGAAATAACAGAAACGTTCCTCTGATTAGACACACAAGGAGGTTCTTGCCCACCCCAGGTTTATTTGAACATCTCTGTAGTGCCGTACTGATGTTCTTTCCAAGTTTCTTTCCTCACTTCTTATCTCGTAGGAGAAAGGAGAAAGAAATTGGCTTTCTCACTGCACTGTTTTGCTCAGTTTCAAAACTGACATCTGTGGTCCAACATTTCCTGCTTTGAGTTTCCTGACAAGTGCATGCATTTACTTCTGATTGCAGTATTTCAGTTAGCATCACAGAATTGTTTTACTGAAGTCTTATTAAATATTCTCAGTCGTAGATGGAAAACATCAAATCCTAGAATCTAATTAAATGATTTGCTCATGTGAAAAACTGCCAATGCAACAGTCTGCTAATCCTTGTAATATAACTAATGTACACAGAAATTTGAGTACTTGCTCTATATTTTATGTAAGAAAGAGTAATAGTGTTTTATGTGAGGATTTTTTTTGTCCAATATCCTCTTGAAAGTATAAGATTTAATATGAAAACTCAATTTTCTTCTGTTTAGGTAATAATCTGCTTTTATTTAAGCACAGTTTTCCTTGGTCTCAAAATTGATATACTTGATTCAAGGCTTGAGGTTATAGAAAATTCACTCAAGCATAGTTGAAGAGCATTCATCTTACCCCTAGGAAAATAAGCTCATTTTTCCACTGCAGATGACTCAGTATCAAAACTTTGAAATAGAAACTTTACATATAAATGGGATTGACTGAGGAATTTGTCCCATATCTGATTCTGAAAAAAGCTGGTTGGATGATAATTGTTTGAAGACTGAAAATCACTTTTGGGCATGTTCTGCAGGCATCCAGCAAGATATTTTGACAGATCATTGAGCAGCTGCTCGAACTTCTGTCATCAACATTCATATTCTCCCTTCTAATCTTGACAGGCAACAGGGTTGCTGTTCTCAGACAAGAGATTTTTAAGAAGACAAGCTTAATGTTTCAATGAAACTTAATATATTTGCCAGTGCTGCCCAGTGATCACCAACGCTCTGCAGCAACACTGACTTAAACTGAAGAAAATCTCAAGATCCATCAGTACCAGCTGCACGTTCCCCATTAAGCTCATCTCAGTGCAAAGTGACCTTTATGTTTCACCTTGCCTGCTCACTGAGTTCCAAACTTCACAGGCTATTAGTTTTCGTTTCATTCTGTTTTTTTTTTCCTCCTTAAATTGGGAAAATTAATTGACATAAAACCAATCAACCCAATATTAAAATGATATACTGGAATATAAATAGCAGTAGCAGAATCAGGTTAACTTTAATTAGCTGTGTGTATGCTGTATGTTAAATAAGGTTGGGAGGACTATGTTGCATTTACAGATAATCATATTCTGTGTGTAAAGATGAGTTCCAGAATAAAAGAAATTTTGTTGGTGCTCTCCAATTAATAGAGGTGAAGTTAGCTTGAGGATGTCAATATTTTCTTCTCTCTTCTGAGAACTAAATTGTGGACCAACACTGACTAAGTTGTAGATCTGTGATTTATTCTTTGCTTTGGTGAGCATGAGTGCAGTAGGCAAGTTACAGTAATGGATGAACCATTATTTATCTCCAAGTTTATTCTAAATGTAACCAAAGATTTTAAGCTTTCTTATTAATGCAGGAATTAGTGTAGAACTTGAATTTGCTCTGATAAACTAACATATGCCAGATGTGCAAACCCTGTATGAGGTTGTACGTATTTGTATCTAGGAAGAAATGAGTAGGCAGAGAGTGCACGATTCCTGCCGGGAATAAATGGACCAAGGTCTTCACAGAGAGTTCTATCTGTCTACTGACATCTACTTTCGTGTGGCTAAGGAGAGACAACTGTCAGATGAAATGGCATAGATGAAACTTCACTGGACAAAAACTGGAAAGCCTGACACTTGGTCAGATTTCTGACAAAGTTTTTTGTCTGTGATAATACTGTGATAATAAACCATCAGAGTGTTTTTTGGGAACTTGTGTGCGAAGCGAAGTTCATGACAGCTGAAGGATCATTCCAGGGAGACCTTGTGATGGCCTTCCAGTACACGAAGGGGCCTAAAGGAAGGATGAGGAGGGACTCTGGCAGGGAGTGTGGTGATAGAAGGAGGAGCAATGATTTGAAACTAAAAGAAAGTACATTTAGATCAGAAATTAGCAAGACTCAGAGGGTGGGTAAGGCACTGGCACGGGCTGCCCAGAGAAGCTACGGAAGCCCCATCCCTGGAATTGCTCAGTGCCAGGCTGGGGGAGGCCCTGAGCAGCCTGGTCCAGCTGGAGGTGTACCTGGCAGGTATTATGGAGGTGCTTGGAGCTAGACCATCTTTAAGGTCCCTTTAACTCAAACTGTTCTATAATCCTATGATGATGATGGGGCTAAAATTTGCTAAAATTTATAATATGTCTATATGAACTACTATGCATGATCTAATGCTGTACCATTTGTCAGTAGCTTTGTGCCTAAGCTGATGCCCATAGCAGATGCAGCATGCCCTTAACATGTCAGGTTATCTTTTTCCTTGCTTCATTCTTGTCATTTAGGGTATTTAGTCTTACTGTAACATCCCTATATTGGTACTGCTGAGTGAAGGTTCTTTGTATGTTGTTTCTGTGTCAGGGAGCTTCAACTTGGTCAAAGGAAAGGCCTTTCAGCTTTTCCTGTGCTGGATTTTTTGAATTACAGCAATTATTATCCACCATTTCTTAATGTCCTGTATTCCAAAGAATGATTATTCCTTTCTTATTTCTACTTTTCTTCCTTTCTGTTTGTTTATAATCTCTGTGGGTAATTAATTTTCCTATGAGCCTTGATGGCTGTGGTCTTGGTGCTTTCCTGTCAGTGTAAGGAGCAGCCATAAGGGATGAACAGTACATTTGCATACCCCATGTGAGATTTTGCACTAATTTTTGAAAACTTCAAAGTCTTCAAATGGCCATCTTCATCTAAGATATAAGGCTGTAAACCATTCCTTATTAATAAGATATGAAAATGCCCACGTCATATTTTGTCATTTAAATTAAGAACGTCAATATGAAATGCAAACCTTGACCAGCATGAAGCAACACAAAGGTTTTGCAACAGAAGGTCCACAACAGATGCTGGTTCTGGAGAAAGGATTTTTCTTGTGTTCTTTGTTCTGCTGCTATTTGTTATTACTATTCTGACAAAGTTGATTTATGCTCCTTAGTTATTGATGTAAGACTTGCCTTGTACGTGGAAATGGGTGTTCAAATAAAATCAACAAATAGTTTTT